ATGGGGGAACTAGAGGCATTAGCATACACTAAACAATATGATATAATAGGCATAACTGAAACATGGTGGGATGAGACACATGACTGGGCAGCTAACTTAAATGGGTACATGTTATTTAGGAAGGATAGGAAAAACAAGAAGGGTGGTGGGGTATGTTTGTATGTCAAACATGATTTAAAGCCAAATGTTAAGCAAATGGAATGCGAGGAGGATAATGTGGAAGCTTTATGGGTAAATATCTGCTTGGGGGAAAAGAAGGGAAACCAACTATTGGTTGGGATATGTTATAAACCACCTAATGTTAATATTGACGAGGAACAACAGCTGTTTGAGCAAATTGAGAAAGCTGCAAATCTGGGTAACACTTTAATTATTGGAGATTTTAATTACCCGGATATAAATTGGGACAGAGGGACTAGTGCCTCAGCAAAGGGAATTAGGTTTTTAAACTTGTTAAATGACACCTTCATGTCACAACTTGTACAAGCACCAACTAGAATGGATGCTTGTCTGGACCTGGTTTTAACAAACAACGTTGATCTTTTGACCAACATTCAAGTAGGTGAGCACTTGGGAAATAGTGATCACAATATAGTGTCCTTTGAAATAAACTCAAAAAAACAAAAGCACATGGGGAATACTAAAACATATAATTTTAAAAAGGCCAATTTCAATAAGTTAAGGGAAGCTTTACAATATATTGACTGGCATAAACTCTTTAGTGAAAAGAACACTGAGGATAAATGGATCATCTTCCAACAAATATTACAAAGGTACATTTCTCAGTATGTACCGTTGGGAAATAAATATAAAAGAAACAAATTAAAACCAATGTGGCTTAGTAGAGAAGTAAAACAAGAGATTACAACTAAGAGAAGGGCATTTAAAGCATTTAAATCGGACAAATCAGATGCATCTTATAAAAGATATAAGGATGCAAATAATGCGTGCAAAAAGGCAATTAGACTTGCTAAACTTCAAAATGAAATAATGATAGCTGAAGAGAGCAAAACCAACCCCAAAGCATTTTTTAAGTACATAAATTCTAAAAAACAAACAAAATGAAAGTGTAGGTACACTAAAAACTGAAACGGGGGTGTTAGTTAATGAAGACCAGGAAAAGGCAGGAATTTTAAATAACTATTTCTCCTCCGTATATATTAAGGAAGAACCCATGGCAATAGATGTGCAAATGATTGCTACTAAAAACTTGCAGAATAATTGTAATTGGTTAACTCAAGACAAGGTGCTGCAGCAACTAAAGAAAGTTAATATAAACAAAGCTCCAGGGCCTGACGGTATCCATCCACGTGTACTTAAGGAACTAAGTGCAGAAATAAGTGAACCTCTGTTTTTAATCTTTCAAGATTCTTTTCTTTCAGGAAGTGTTCCGGAGGATTGGAGGAAGGCAGATGTGGTTCCTATATTCAAAAAGGGTTCAAAATCCTTGCCTGGAAATTATAGACCTGTGAGCTTAACTTCTGTGGCTGGTAAAATATTTGAAAGGTTATTAAGGGATAATATTCAAGAATTCCTTGAGAAGAACATGGTTATCAGCAAAAATCAGCATGGTTTTATGAAGCACAGGTCATGTCAAACTAACTTGATTGCGTTCTACGAAGAAGTAAGTAGAAGTATAGATCAGGGTGTTGCCGTGGATGTGATCTATTTGGATTTTGCCAAGGCATTTGATACAGTTCCACACAATAGATTAGTGTTCAAACTCAAGGAAATCGGTCTAGATGAAAATGCTTGTTCTTGGGTAGAACATTGGCTTAAAAACAGAGTACAAAGAGTTGTCATTAATGGTAAATTTTCAAGCTGGACAGAGGTGGCAAGTGGTGTCCCTCAGGGGTCTGTTCTGGGACCCCTTCTATTTAACATGTTTATAAATGATCTTGAAGACCGCATTGAAAGTCATGTTTCAGTGTTTGCAGATGACACCAAACTTTGTAAAAAAATACAATGTGAGCAAGATATTACTTTGCTGCAGAGGGATTTAGATAGACTGGGGGACGGGGCACTCAAATGGGAAATGAAATGTAATGTTGAAAAATGCAAAGTTATGCACTTCGGCGTAAAGAATACACAAGCAACGTATACCCTTAATGGAAGCGAATTAGGTATAACAACACATGAAAAGGACTTGGGAATTGTTATAGACAACAAACTATGCAACAATGTGCAATGTCAATCAGCAGTGGCCAAGGCCAGTAAGATATTGTCATGCATGAAAAAGGGCATTCATTCTCGGGACAAGAATATAATTTTGCCTCTTTATAAATCACTGGTAAGACCCATATTGAATATGCTGTGCAATTTTGGGCACCTGTTCTAAAGAAGGATATTATGGCACTAGAAAAAGTGCAGAGGCGGGCTACAAAACTAATAAAAGGAATGGAACATATCAGCTATGAAGAAAGGTTAACAAATTTAAACCTATTTAGTTTAGAAAAGCGTCGCCTGAGAGGGGATATGATAACATTATACAAATATATTCGGGGCCAATACAAACCATTGTGTGGAAATCTATTCACAAACCGGACTTTACATAGGACACGAGGACATGAGTTTAGACTGGAAGAAAGAAGATTTCGTCTAAGGCAAAGGAAAGGTTTTTTACTGTAAGAACAATCAGGATGTGGAATTCTCTGCCTGAGGAAGTGGTTTTATCAGAGTCCATACAGATGTTCAAACGGCTACTAGATGCATACTTGCAAGAACAAAATATTCAAGGATATAATCTTTCAATGTAGGGTAATAACTGCTTGATCCAAGGATAAATCTGACTGCCATTCTGGGGTCAAGAAGGAATTTTTTTCCTAGCTTGTTGCAAAATTGTGCTTCAAACTGTTTTTTTTTGCCTTCTTTTGGATCAACAGCAAAAAACAAATGTGAGGTAGGCTGAACTTGATGGACGCAAGTCTCTTTTCAGCTATGTAACTATGTAACTATTGTAGGGTCAGGAATAAAGACATGTATTCTTTATCCTTTAGTGTTAAAAACACTATTTATGTGGCAGGCTCCCCCTTGCTATTACTAAATAGGGTAAAAATTTACCTTTATTCCAGCGCTGCGTGGGCCTGCCAGCACTGGCCCTGTCCCCAATACACCACCTTGGCTGACTTCATCACAATTAACGATCTTAGCCAAAGTGGGGGATGACACCCCCAACGCTGTACTGGCCAATAAGCATCTCCTCATAGAGATTAATTGAATTAATGCATTTCTATGGGGAAAGCTTAGCATCTCCATGCAGAGGATGGAGACACTGAGGGCAGTGCTGCACAGTGTGCAGCACTGGCCCAGAAAGCACCTCTAGTAGCCATCTAAGTGACTATTCCCTGTTCCTACATGACACAATCAAAGGGTGTTCTAGAACAGCTCTAAAGGGTCTGCCTCACTAGAAATCTTTTCATTATGGTGTCAACTTACTGCCTCCTCCACCTTCACGTTTTCATGAACATTCACAAAAAAATAACATTGTGTGCCTGAGTGACATACATTCTTAGCATGATAGTCAGTGCAGGTAACAACAGCTAGCGCATCTTCTTCATCACCAGATAAACTGAGGTACGGAAAGATCACCCCAATAAGTCCTAATGGTTTTATATTTTAATTCCCATAAAACAAGTATTTCTATATATACCTGTATTATTTATGTATTTGTTTTCTCTTGTAATAAATTTATCTTTTTATAGTCTATGTTTACCATGGACCAACTATTTCTGATCTGTTACACACATTAAAAGGGACACTATAGGCACCAAGACCACTTCAGCTCATTGCAATGTCCCTGTCACCTTAGTTCTACAATGTGACTGGTCCGCTATCCTCTATACAACGTTCTGTTACAGAGCTCACAATAGCTATGACGGAGCCATGCAATCGGGGGGGGTCAAGAGTGTTAGAAGTGTTAAAAGTGGGGGGAGCGGCAATATGCATCTTTCCCTGTGTAGCCAAAAATCATTGCACCAGCAAATGTATAAGAATTAAGTTTTATGCTATTAATACATTTTAAAATTAGAAATGTAAACATGTTTTTGGGGTTTGTTTAGTGTTCGCTTATTACTTTAATTTGTATCTTTTATTGTGTTTGAAAAAAATAAAAAAAAATCCTAATATTTGAAACAAACCCACAAGGGGAAATTTATCAGCAAAGTCTGCAAAATGCAATAATTCACAATTGTGTTAGAGACTACAAGTGGGCCTCATTCAAAATTGATCATGGTTTCTCAAGAGAGAAATCATTGTATTCTGCAAATGCCATCATTGTAATTGATGCCTATAGTGGCACTGTCAACAATCCCTGAAAAATTATTTCATACAGGTTGAATCTTTTTGAAATACTCCTTTTGACTGTGCTGGAACTTCTGAGAGAGAAATTCTAAGCCTAGTTAAGAGATATACAGTGACAAAGCAGGTTCTAATTTCTCTCTGTATTTCTCCTCAGTCTGACTTCCTTACACTCAAGGTGGAGTCTAAGAGTCAATCCTGACAGTCGTTACCAGTGATGGCTGCAGAGAATTGGGTGTGTCTATGGAGGATCCGGCGATGTTGTGGGATCCTCCATAGACCTCACTGATGTACTTTCATGCATACGCAAGAGTACAGCAGTGATGTCAGCTCCTGACGATGAAACACTAGGAGCTGAAGGGGAGCAGTATGATCAAGAGGACGGTGCCTACATGGGACAGGTTCAGTTAAGTAATTCTCACCTTTCCTACCCCCCACGGCCACCGTACGAGCATCAGCAATGTCACTGTCTGGGGATTTTGTGAATTCGGCAAAGTCCACAGACATTGACAGTGCCGCCTAGCCATTCACAATATACATTGTACACTTTGAAACACTTACCACAACACAGATGTCACTGTAGATACACAAACAAAATTCGAAGAAAAAGTGTTGTATTCTTAAAAAAAATATAAAAAATAATAACCACAAAAAAATCCCAAAGAACTCACAATATACAATAATGAGGTTGAAAAGGAGAAATGCCGGTAATTAACTTTATTTTTCATAAAATATAAATTCTGGCTGAATATTAACAATGCATACTTGGTAATAAAATGCATAGATAAAGATTATAAGCCATATCAATGGCATTATAATCATGAAGTTTAATAACACTGACATATGCATTGTCTGGGAAATGTGTACCAATAGCATTAACAGCACATGATGGAATGGGCCTGCGATTCCTTTGTCATAGGTAACCGTGAATCCAGGATGCTGTCTTCCTGACCTACGTAGATAAACCTGGGTCAGTTTTTTAAAAACAAGATGCCGAAGAAATACAGGTTATGACACTGTTGTATATTGCATGGAAAATACAAACGCAAAATATTACTTATGTTGTCTTAGTATATTTTTAAAACACAAAGGGAGGGAGGGGGTAGAGGTGAGTTTACTTACCTGAACCAATCCCTCATGGATCCCAACATCTTTCTCAGTCAGCTCCTCTTCAACTCCTGGCGCTACAGCCCTAAAAGTCGATTACAATATTGAACCCAGCCAGGGCCGGCCTTAGGGGTGTGCATGCTGTGCAGCCGCACAGGGCGCCACGGCAGAAGGGGGCGCCATACGGCTAACATAGCACATAATGCTTAGCTGGGAAGTGGGTTCTAAAGCAAGTCTGGCTACCCGGTTGCAAGATTTTTATAATTCTTCACACCGGACTATCAAAGAAAACAACAAGGTAGCAGGGGCGGGGCAAATAGCGCCCAGAAGCCGATGCCTGGTAACTGCTGCACAGGTAGGAATCCCTACTTTCCCAACAACTATCAGAATCCAGGAATTGCACTGACTCTACTCCTCCCTGGAATGAGGTAACTGTGTGTGTGACTGTCTGCCTATAACTGTGTGTCTCTCTGTGTGTATGTCTGCCTGTAACTGTGTGTGTGTGTGACTGTCTGCATACAAGCGCACGTGTGTGTTAATGTCTACTTGTAACTGTGTGTGTGACTGTCTAATTGTGTGTGAGTGTGAAACTGTCTGCCTGTAATTGTGTGTGTGTGTGTGTCTATCTGCCTGTAACTGTATGTGTGACTGCCTGTCTGTAACTGTGTGTGACTGCCTTCCAGTACCTGTGTATGTGTGTGACTGCCTGTACCTGTATGTTTGACTATATACCTGCAACTGTGAGTCTGACTGTGTGCATGTTGCTGTATATTACAATGTATATGTATAAATCTGTGCATCTGACTGTGAGACTGTGTGCATGTGACTCTGCAAAAATATACACATGGGCATACATACATACATATTTTTATCTGAATGAAATACTCATCACACACAGTACACAGCCAATAAACCCATTACAAATATCACACACAAACAACACACAGTTTACATTATATTATATGTGATATGTATTATAGTGGAGCTCTGGCATACAAAACGCACATTGCTCTGTGATACACTAATAGACATATTACTGGTAGTTGCATTGTTGTGGAGCTCTGTGACATACTCTAACATTACATATTACTGGGAGTTTTATTGTTCTGTTCTGTGATAAACAGGTACACCACCTAGTACTGTGAGGGTTTTTTGTTGCTGTGGAGTTCAGTGATAAATGTTTTTTATTCCAAATAGGTCAAGGTAAATAAGGAAAATCCAGAGCTCCAAAGCATAACAATTATGTGACATATTTAGTCTGCCCCTCTGTAATGCTGAAGAGGCAGTATGGCACCTCTGGCCGGCACTTCTGTTGGCTGAAGACCATTAGTAGCTGTCTTCCTAGCTCAGGCCATTTAGAGCGTTGCTGCGGATTTCCGCAGGAAAGCTCTGACATGCCAAGTGTGAGCTCGCGAGACAGTTACTCATGGTCTGCACCCGGTGGAGTGGCAGACCAGATTCCCAGTACAGTGGAACACCCTGATCAGCATGCCCCTCTCCCAACAATGTTACAGGGAATGAAGAATGAATATTTGTTTTTAAATCATCATTCATTTAATAATTCCCCTATACATACACACTATACATGGATGAAGGGGGATGACTGAGTGAAAGGCCTAAAAGCCTAAGGCTGGTCCTGATTACATTTGACTGCACTATCATGCATGTGTGAGAGAACAGCAATGACCCTTCATAGACATAGCAATCTAAAAACCAGGCAAGAGATATACAGAGACAAAGTAGGGACTAAATTTCACTATCACCCCATCCCTTGAAATATGATTATTTCATAGAGACAGAATCTTTATGAAATACACTTTTTGACTGTGTTGGAATTATACTATATTCCAAACCAGAGATTTACAGAGACAAAGTAAGGACAGCTTTGTCTCTGTATACCTCATGAGATTTTTGTGAAACTCCAACACAGTCAAAATGAGTATTTTATAATGATTCTATCTTTGTGAAATAATCATTATTCAGGGGTGGTTGACAGTTCAGCTGTAGAATTAGCTAAACTAAAATTTAATAGAAAGAATAGAAAACGTACCTTTTCAACAACATTCAAAACCTGAGAAGTTCCAGGATCCAATGTGGATTCTGAGTGCATGGTACCAGCGCCGCCCGCCAGCCCAGCATGTCAGTTAGCCGCAAGGCTAATACGTCCCTGCACAGGACACATAGTTCCAAAAGGAACTAACATACACATCTTTATTTTTTTCTCAGGACTTGGCCATAGGCTTATTACATGTAACTTATGGTGACAACAATAAATATACAATTGGAAATACATTTTTTTTTAAATAAGTATAAAGTATTACACAGAAATTACAACCCAGTTAAGAGAAGTACTGTAGGGAATCCAGCTAGTAAGAGACAAAGTAGGGACCCCATCCATCAACCCACCAGCAGCGATTCAACATCAGTGGTCTTTGCAAATTTGATGAAGCACACAGACGGTAACAGTGTTGATTTAATACATGTCATTAGTAGTAGTATAATGGAAGGTGTTAGAGTACCTGTTCTTTTATCTCTTCAGTCCACGAGATCAATGTTGGAAGCCATAAGAAATCCAATTGAAAAAAACCAATAACGAGAAAATAATACACAAATTAAACACAGTGAATTATGTGGCTTCCACAAGATGCCCTCAGACATATATACACACAGAAATATCATGAGAGATACACACAGGTGACACACAGACATGTTTACATTGACACATACTGACATACATGCAAAGATTCACGCACACACAGATCCATACACTGACACACATACGCACTGACAGACATGCAGAGATCCATACACTGACACTAAGGCAAACGTCAAAATACACTTACTGTAAGTTGAAGTAGAAACATGATTGCCCTCCGAATGTGTGCCACTGCAGTACCTCTTGCAGAAAACAGTCTGTAGCGGAGCTCCTGTACTCTGACTGAGTACCTCCACCCAGCTCGCTTCTTAGTCGCTTGTTGGAACCCTGGAGTGGTTCAACCCTAGTCACTGGGGTCTCTCTGGAGCTTTTCCACCTGACAAGGTTGCAGGTCTCCTACCAGGCAGGTATCATCCCTTTTTCCTAATTCACTGCAGCCCTTCTTCCATGGCAGATGTCGTCCCCTCTGCCTATTTCTCTGTGGCCCTTCTTCCAGGCAGGTATCATCCCCTCTGCCTATTCCTCTGCAGCTTTTCTTTCAGGCAGGTATGCACCTCTGCCTGCAATGTGATAGCTCTTGTCTATCTTTATAAAGACACTTGCAGCTCTCAGGCCTAGCTCTCTTTTATTTGCCGCCAGACTAGAGGGATCGTGCAGCCAGGCAATGGGTACAACAACTCTTTTACTGTGATCCCTAAAAATCCACACAGGACCAGTGGTGTATCCTGGTTTTGTGCTGCCCTAGGCAGGACAAAACTCAGGCACCCCCCTGCCCCTGCACCACCCAACCTTTCCCCCCCGCCCCACCTTCTAAATACACACACACACAGTCACACACACACACAGTCACACACACAGACACACACAGTCAGACACAAACACACACACAGACACACACACAGTCAGATACACACACACACACACACACACACACAGTCAGACACAAACACACACACACAGTCAGACACAAACACACACAGTCAGACACACACACACAGTTCAGACACACACACACACACAGTCAGACACAAACACACACACAGTCAGACACAAACACACACACAGTCAGACACACACACACACACACACAATCACTCACATTAACACTTAAAAATTTAACCTCCCCCCCCCAGCCTCCTTACCTTTGGGAATGCTGGGGGGGGGTTCCTCTCTCTCCCTGGGGGTCCAGTGGCTGCCGGTCAGGCTGATGGGCTGGCTGCTGGGCTGGCGGGGGAGCTCTTCCTCTGAGCGGTCTGCTCAGCTCCCTCGCGCACCGCAGAGTGAGGCTGGGAGCCGGAATATGACGTCATATTCCGGAGCTGAGCAGACCGCTCAGAGGAAGAGCTCCCTCGCCAGCCGCCCGCCCGACCATCAGCCAGCGCCGCCCGCCAGCCCAGCATGTCAGTTAGCCGCAAGGCTAATACGTCCCTGCACAGGACACATTCTCAGGACTTGGCCAAAGGCTTATTACATGTAACTTATGGTGACAACAATAAATATACAAACAATCAAATCACATCAGACAACATACAGGAATTTATAATAACATAATGGCATATTTATAAAGGGGTGGGGAAGACAATAATTAACACAAAATATATCTCCTGTCTGCAGAATTAGCAATATGCAAATTCAGGCTATCTCCGCTCCAGGTGCTGGGATCTGCTGCTGGGGAGGGAGGTTGACACTGTCTGCTCCCGGTAATTCACTTTGTCAATGGGGAGGGGGACCAACTGTCTCCACTCCTGGTAACTCCGACTGCCGCTGGGGAGGAAGGCCGATACTTTTCTCTCCCTGACAAACCAACTGCCACTGGAGAGGGAGACTAAGCATCTCCATTCCTGACAAAACAACCTGCCAGTGGGGAGGGAGGCCAGCACTCTCTGCTCCAAATAACTTGAGTTGCTGATGGGGAGGAAAGCCGACACTCTCCACTACCAGTAACTCAAGCTGTTGCTAGGGAGGGAGGCCGGATACCTCTACTGGGAAGCTAGTGGAGTGACCAGGATCCCCATGCCAGGGGTTTGAAGATCTGGGCCAGCTGCTCAGCATCCCTTTACATCAGGTGTGGAGAATATGGTTCTCTCCATTGCTAGCTGTCCAACATCCTCAGATGTAAACCTGTGTAAACCTGTACAGAATCAAATAATTGCTTGTAATCCAGTTCAAGCTCCCACTCCATGGTGGCCAGATGGGTCAAATCAGGTTCCAGGTCAGTTGCGTATGAGAGATCCCTATTTTATCAAATGCCATTGAGTCGGAAATTCTCAGGACTTACGAATTCAAGTTTATCCTCAAAGGCTTCCCACAACAGGCCAGGGCCATCATAGCCCTCGCCCTCTGAAGGGACATCATCCGCTAGTACCCTTAACTAGTACTCCTGCTCAGCTACTACTTTGGCTCTCAGCTATTTGCTAGTACACCAGCTCGGCTACTACTTCAGCTCTTGGCTAGTACTCCGGCTCTTGGATAGGACTCCTGCTCCTGGCAAGGAATCTAGCTCTTGTAAGGTACTTCTGCTTTTGGCTAGTACTCTAGCTAGGCTGGTAATTCAGCTCTTGGCTAGCACTCCAACTCGGCTAGTACTTTGACTCTTGTCTAGTACCCCAACTCGGTTAGTACTTCAGCTCTTGACTAGTACTTTTCTCTTGGCTAGTACTTCTGCTAGGCTAGTAGTCCAGCTTGGCTAGTACTTTTGCTTTAGGCTAGTACTCCAGCTCTTGGGCAGTACTTCTGCTCTTAGCTAGTACTGCAGCTCAGCAGGTACTCCGGCTTTGCCTACTACTGTAGCTGAGCTAGTACTTGGCTCTAGGCTAGTACTGCAGCTATCAGGTAGTACTTAGGCTCTTGGCTAGTACTCCAGCTAATAGGTAGTATGGCTCTTGGCAAATACTGCAGCTCTTGGATAGTATTACACCTCTCAGGTAATACTCCTGTTCTTGGCTAGTACTCTACATCTTGGGTAGTACTCTGACTCTTGGCTATTACTCCAACTATGTTAGTACTTCTGCTCTTAGCTAATACTCCAGTTCGGGTAGTACTTTGGCTCTTGGCTACTACTCCAGTTCAGCTCTTACTTTGGCTCTTGGCTACTACTCCTGCTCAGCTAGTACTCCTGCTCTGTAGTAGTATTCCGGCTCGGCTAGTACTTCAGCTCTCGGGTAGTACCCGGCTCTTTGCTAGAACTCCAGCTTGGCTAGTGTTTTGGTAGTTCTCCAGCTCTGCTTTAGGCTGGTACTTCAGCTCTTGGATAGTACTCCAGCTCGGCTGGTACTTCAGCTCTTGACTAGTACTTTTTCTCTTGGATAGTACTCCTGCTAGTCTAGTATTCCAGCTTGGCTAGTATTCCAGCTCTTGGATGGTACTCCACCTCTTGGGTACTACTCCTGCTCTTAGCTAGTACTCAAGCTCGGCTAGTATTTTAGCTCTTGACTATTACTCCAGCTCTTGGGTAGTACTTCAGCTCTAAGCTAGTACTCCTGCTCACCTAGTACTCATGCTCTTGGCTAGTACTTCAGCTCCACTAGTATTTTTCGTGGAGGCTCCCCCTCACACACACACATTTACCCTGATGATATAGTGGTGATAGGACACTCTTTGCTGCCACTGACAGAAATCTCTGCCAGCTACCCTTCCTTACCTTCCTGTCTGGGAGGGTGGCTGGCGATTCTTTCTGTAGTTTCCTGTCAGAGACCTTTCATTTGTCTTGCTATTTAAGAGGGAGCGAGGCTTATCAGCCACCCTTTGATTGCTTTGCTCTCTAGTAGGTAGGGTGACTGCTGCCTTGCTTGATTCACATGGAGCATTGGCCTCCGTGTGAGTACAGTCTGGCAGGCAGGGGAGAGGGAACTGCTGGGCTCTGCCCCCCACTCCTCCGTCCCCTGGAGCTGTTCTCATAGAATTAAACAGCTGTGTTCAGCTGTCTGAAATTCAGTGTGGTGACTGTTTGTGCCACTGGTCTGCAAATTTCAGGATTTACAGTAGGCATAATTTGCTAATTATTATATTAAATATATAAACAAATGTTGCTTGCAGTTATTCAAATTGCACATACATAGTTGTGGGTGTGACTGCTTACTCTGGAAATCATGCATACACAAGTGTGAAGGTGAAGGAGTTAAAACATTTAAATTACAACACAGTCACACACACTTAGATTAGAGACTGACAGAAAATCAGCACTGTAGCAATAGCACCCTCCAAGAAACTGCTATTGATGCACTTAAACCAATGACTTGTTTAAAATTAAAAAAAAAAAAACTAAGAGCTGCAATATAATTTGTAAGCTTCTACTAGGTTAAGGGTTGTAGACTATCCTACCCTCAGGCCCACTAAGCTAATGGACTGGACTCTTGCTCCTTCTCTAAAGTGAATTCAACTAAAGCTATTTGATTTAGGAAAAACTGGAAATCTGCAGCCAAACACAGCAGGCAGTGAATCAGGCAGTGGATGGCATACTGGCTCAGTCAGCAGCACAGAACCACAGAATAAGAAAAAAAAAATGCATCAGTAGACTTTCTCTATAACATAGGTTGTTGTGAGAATCTCAAGCTCGCAAGGTCTCACAGAGAAAAATAATTGAATGGCAATGAGACTAGCATAGCAGTGTGTCGTCAAAGCTCATTCAAAGAAGGGTGGAGAAAGATTTTCTGCATGCTTCCTCAATATGATAAAAACAAACAAAAAACATTCTCCATCATGTCACAAGAGTGAGCTGATTGTACAAAGGAAATTCCCACGTCCCTCCCCTTTCTGTGATGAAAGCATGTTCTGTGTACTTTTATTCTCAATGGCATTGAGAATTCTGATGAAAGACAATTTTCATTCAAAAAACAATTTCTCCGAAAACAAATGCCCAAGTCTACTAGACACTTAGGAGAAAAAGGGTCACTTCTGAACAAGTATCAGAGACACAGAGAAATAGCAACACAAACACATTGTATAATTAAAAAAAAATTATCGGCCATGATGCACTGGACTTCAAGTTAGACCATATTGCAAGAATCTATTAGTGTGGGGATTTTGTCATTCATTTAGCCAGGCTAAATAGCACAGCTAAAAGTTGAAATAAGGAGTTCTTCAAGGTGTTTCAAAGAGAGAAATGCTAAACTTACCTGTGAAAAGAAAGGACCCATATTGAATTACACAATAATATATCTATTACGCAAACGTTAAGTGTTGACTGAAGATAAAAAGACTACAAGAAATATCTTTTGAAGCCTCTTGATATTTCCTATACAATTTAGATTATAGTCATGTCATTAATATAGCTTTGAAATGTGACACACACACACACACTAGAAACAAACAATTTGCAAGGTTTTATAATTTTATATTAATTATTCAATTGCAGTGAAACACTGGATAATTTTAGAATTGGTATTCATAAATTGATATAATTTAAAGAGGACTTCATAAACTATACATTTTCTACTTTTGGTAATTCAGTGTTTTATAGTCAAGATTTGGTCAGGTAAAGTGTTTTTATTTTCACTTCTAGATTATGGAAACTTTAAGTAATGATAAAAAAAACCCCACAATAACAACTTAATTGAGAACACATTTTTTATCCTTCTAAGGGTTCTTAAACATACCACTCTCTTCTAGAGATAACTGACCCATCGATATGTGATACTAAATCATCTTCTGTATCGTAGGTTGATACTTTAGACATAATTTTATTATTGTATGGATTCACCGGTCTGTCAATCTGTTCTTGACATCTGTTGTTCCATTCAGGATGTTCAACATTTTGAAGAACTTCATTATAAATAAGATTTGTTTTTCTCTCGTCTTGTTTCATAGAGTTTGGATTATGATCAAGATTTTCAGGTTGGATAACATCAATCTGTGACTCTTTTTCCATATCTGATGGGGGAATATAGCTCTTTGTAAAGTAGTCACCACGAAATATTTGTTTTCGCCTATAGTAGAAGACTCCAAACAGCACAGTTGAAAAAATTAGAAAGAGACTCCCTCCAACTAAGCAGCCAAAAATTGTGCCAAAATGCCCCCCTTGTTTTGTTGCCATAGTTGAGGGTGGATGTTTCAACATTTTTGAAGATGTTGCCAAGTCTGCCAAGTCAAAAGCTGAGTGGGTCCGTGGAAGTAAAGTAGTAGCTGGGGGATCTGTTGGGAATAAGGTAGACAAAGAAAAGGAAAAACAAGATCTGTCAATATGTAAAAGGTTAGCAAATTATTCTAAAATTAAATAGCTGCAAAGACAGTTTGGAAATTAAAATATCACTCTTAGCACGTTCAACATTCCTAGGTTTACAGTGCAAAGAGTACCCTGAATCCACTCTCAACCCTAAGTGGGTTTATAAAAATTGCTCTAACTATAAAACAGCGCACCAAAGTTGTCAATTGTATCATAACTGTGTGTTTGGAGAGGGCAAAACTTTATTCCAGCATTTGGCCTTGCATGTGCAAATTAGATAGCTTGGCACTTCACTGTATACAATCTTATTTATAAGAGTCTGAAATGACTTCTGTAAAATGACATCAGCTGTGGTATGGCTAATCAGTTTAAAGAGTAGACCCATCCTATATGATAATTGCATGTGCTGCTGCGAGTCATTATTTTATGTGATTCCTAATTCAGCTAGTCAGTTTATGGATAAACCATAGATGTCTATATACTGCTTTAAAACATAAAACTTAATTTTTGTTTCATTAATAAGATAAATATAACATTATGACCAATAATTAGCAGGGCATGCATTATTCATCATTCAAGACAACACATGTATTAAATGTTCTCACAAAAGTAAAGCCCCATGAAGGTCTGTTGTATCGGGGTAGATTTATTATTGTCCCATTTGTCTGAATTATACTATTAGACCACATCACCTTTATGTTGTCACATGCTAATCATATTTAAATGATTCCATATGTCACAGTAGTTTTAATGTAGGGATACCTGCATTTCAGGGCTTGTTAAGAAAATAATTTGTGACTGTACCAAAAGAACAGGGATGATAAACAACTTTCCTGTGAAAGACCAGGATTATTATAAATTATTATTGAAATGTAATATATTGAAAAGTAATTTAATTTCCAATGACAGATATTTTCCTTAAATAAGGGGAACTATAGGGGGCAGAACCGGATCTTGAGCTGCATGGACGGCTAGTAGCACAGCTCCCACGCTGTAGACTCAAAAGCGACTAACAGCCATATTATCAGCTTAATTTTGGTCAACACTGGTGACATATACATGTCACAACAGAGTGCAAGAAAAAACACTGATTCTAAGGAGAAACACTCCTTTCTTGCAACACAATTGGCCCAAATGACAATCACCAAGTTGACGGACCAAAATGGTCGCAATGGCAGAGAAGAATTACACCATTCTAGGCTGCAGTCTCCTACTGATGGTAGCCCCATAAACGGGGTGAAGATAAAATAACATGGCCGAAAAATTGCAAAATACAGTGTATGCAGCAAAGTCCGACATAAAGGACTTACTTGACCTGGGCACACACACCGCTCATATCGAGCACAAAATTATGGAATTCACTGAGGCTCATAACAGATGGAAACACTTGAGGCAAATGTAAAACACCAGGAGTTAAAATTGATAAACCTAGAGGACAGGTCCTAATGCATGAATTTGCGAATCCGACTCACGTGAAAAGAACCCCAGAGGTGCCTCTAAAGTGGATAACTATTCGACATCCGAAATCTGCAAAGAGCCGTATTTATAAGCTGAAACCCAGCTGAGTTATAATGTCTATTTTTATTTCTGTTTCTGGTAATGGTGATTTTATCACATGACGGGAGGCTTCATATTTTCTTAAGTCTCTCTTTACTACATCTCTCAGCAGCACTTTTACACAGAGAGGAATCAACCAGAAGCAAACAGAAACAATAAGTCTCCCCTCCCCTTCTAACACTTCCTCTTTCTTTGCTGCTCCTCACCAGCACAGGTCAGAGTACCACTGCCTCCTGCTCTTATGTGGGTTGCTATGGGTTTGTGATTTACTTGAGGTTTATGCTTACTTCCTTTTTCCCTTAGAGTACTTTGTGATTTTCCTTTATCTATTTTATGTACTTTTATTCTCCTTTATTTCTAAACCTATGTAGTTTTCCATGTATTTTACGTGCTGGAATATTGGGCTTTGTGTAGTTGTTTTGCCTTTCGTTTTTTTTTTTTTTTATTCTCTTGCTGCTCGGGTCCTCGGAAGGATCCTTTGGCTGCCTTCACCGGTTTTCACAAGCCCTAGGAACATCTCCGCTGGTCTCACGAGCGCTCGCAGTGGCCATTTTTGATTTTGTGCTATAGACGCGACCCGAGGAGGGGCATTGAGCGCAGTCTCCGCTTAGCACAAGATAAACTGCTAGACATCCTAGGGCCACTGGCCAGTATTTTATTACTAGCTGACGAAGCTCTTAGGGCACTGCCCTGGACCTGTCCTGCTTTGCGCTCCCTGGGCAACTCTAACATGGCACTCTGCATGGAGTGGAGGAAGGTCATCCTCCTGTGCAGGGACGGCAAACTGTCCAACCTGGTGTCAAAGGAATTGGGGCCATCAGGGGCCAACAGCCTACTATTTGGAGAACCATTCATCAAGGAACCCCACAAGCACATAAACCTATATGCTACCCTTAACAACACTCAGTCCTCAATGAGGGTACTCCATAAGACAACCCACCGTGGGTTTTTGGCAGGGCTGGAAGACAACGGGGTTGTGTCGCCAACCAATTCTGGCAGTCGGGACATCGAGGATCCCACGCATCGTCAATTTGCCCCAACTACTCTACCAGATCCTTCCACACGCAAAGATGTGAACAAGGCAGAGGTGCCCACGGCCGGGCAAGAATGAATACAGGTGAGCCCTGTTACTACTTGCCATTCAATACTGTTTCATGCTGGCAGACTGTCTCACTGTGTCCACAGGTGGAGAATTCTGTCTTCGGATGCTTGGATTCTACTGGCAGTCCAGGGTTACGTGATAGAGTTTCATACACCCCCAAGGCAAGACTCGTTTCCGCCGACACCGGTTTCGACTGTGGCTCACCAACCCCTGCCCTGGTGAATGCAAAGATCCAAGCACTCTTCGAGAAGAATGCGGTCCAATGGGTCTAGGTGGTTTCTACAGCTCCATCTTCCTCGTCAAGAATAAATCCACCCGGTAATAAATCTACGACGATTGAACGCTTTTGTGTTGTACCAGTACTTCAAGATAGAGGGCATCCATCTGCTCTATGACCTCCTCCATCCTGGGGATTGGTTTACCCACCTGGAATTGAAGGATGTGTACCTGTCTGTACAGGTAGATGCTGTCAGCCGCCTTTTACTCAGTTCGTCCATTTTGGCCTCAACTTGGCCCCATGGTGTTTCACCTTACGTGTCCTCTTGGTGCCTGGAAGGGAATATCGATCCCTTTACTGCCCCTGTTTCCGCCGTTCTGAAGCTCTTATCTTATTTGTTTGAGAAAGGGAAATCCTATCACTATATTAATGTGGTCCGCTTAGCTATCTCAGCTGTGCATTAGTGATGTCCCAAAGGTGGGAGTACTTAGGTGCCGTAGGACAGGACAACTTGATGCCTCCAGGAAGCCTATAGATCAAGGGATCTTGACCAACAGGGAAACCCTGTAGAGGAACATGCACAGTAGTGATGTCCCGAACGGTTCGCCGCGGACGGCGAACATATTACCCTGTACCTCACAGTCAGCAG